TGTGTTGCCTGTGTGGCTCAGGCTGGCCTTGGACTTGTGATTCTTCTGTCTGGGTCTCCTGCCCAGGTGAGACTACAGGTGCATGCCACGGCACCCAGCTCAGGTATAAATTCTTAAACTGGATTTTAAAAGTAATGAAGAAAGGCTGGCTGCAACTGTGATGGTTTGTGTAATGATTTGTCTTTTGGTTGAAAACAGCTGAAAATCAAACTGCCTTAAGCTAAGGAGGGAAAATTTAGGGTGCCCAGATCTGAAAAGCCCCAGAGTAGACCTGCTTTGGGACATAAAGTTCCTGGACATGTTTTCTCTCTGTTCTAGTTGCCTTAGAGTTCGCTTCAGGCTTCAGTAGCCTCTTAGGCTCAAAGTAGCTCCCCCAGAAGAGATAGGCTAACTTCAAGTTCAAGTTCAAGTTCGAGTTCAGAGGGTTTTTTTTTTTTTTCTCCTAATGGTTAAGCATAAAGTGTCAGTTTGGCTTTCCTTGGCCTGTACTGAGTCACATGCCCACAGGTGAACCATCACTGGAGTTAGGGGCTGACCTCTGCTGATGGTCCTGGTTCTGGGTCACACGTCTACCTTTGGAGTATAAGGTGGGAGGTGAATTTGGCTCTACCAAACCACACCACAGAGGGGGAGGGAGGGATACTGTTGCTAAAGAAGAAGGGATTCTGCCAAGAAGGTCTACCAACAAATCCCTGCCTCTGATGGCTGGCTCAGTTTTCAAAAGGGATTACAGGGCACCTTGTGATAAATCTGTTATCTTCAGATCCGCCACCCCATAAGCTCTTTTTCATCCCCTTCTTATCACTTGCCCTGTCCCCTATGACGAGACTTTTCAGCATCACAGGAGTGACATTGTAAACATAAGGAACCTGGAACCTTTGGAGATTTCCCGTAAGTCATCAATTCTCCTCTCCATGGGGGTGGGGTGTAGTCCCTGCAGGTGAACACATCAGGATCTTGCAAGGGCTTTGTGTGAGCCGGATAGAGTCTGAAAGTGCCTGTTTGACATAATTTTGTATTTTCCAAATCATACTTGGTTAACAGAACACAAACCTTAGACTTATCAAAAGATGTGTGTTTTAAGATTAATTCTGCCTATCTAAGAACATGAGAAATCCTTCCATTGATCTCCTAAGTCTAGGATCACATCATCTACAAACAGAGATATTTTGACTTCTTTTCCTATTTGCATCCCTTTAATTTCCTTTTCTTACCTAATTGCTCTGGTTATAATTTCAAGTGCTATATTGAATAAGAGTGGTGAGAGTTTGAATAATCTCCAGTATCACACACACAAAAGAGATGTGAAGTACTGATGGGGGTGTGCTGTTTTGAACCTTGCTTTAGGAGAAAGATTTTACCTAGTTTAGACAAACTAAGTGACCTGACTTCACATCTAGGTCCCTATCCAGTGGATGTTCACCCTCCCTGGCATTGACGTGAAAACCACATAGGGCCGAGGATAACCTTGCTCATGTCAACCCTTCCCCTTTCCCCCATTAACACAATGTTCTAGGAAACAGAAGTAGTTGCATAAATTAGATCTTAGGAACTTGTAGAGTTTTACAAATCCCCCTTCCAAAGTAAAGCACACTGTCTGTTCATAACTTTTTCCCTGACAAACTTTTAAAATCTTTTCTGTGGGAAGCCACTCTGAATGACCCACACCTTCCAGTCCTGAAGCACGAGGCTCTGGCCAATCACTTTATTTTGTGGTGACTTGGGCCATTGTTCCAGCTCAGATAGCAAGGAGTGTCTTCGGGTGTAGCATGTCACCCACAGGGGTTGAGCCACACTCACCCATTCCTGTGTGTTCTCTTCCCTCATTTGAATGGCTTCTTCCCAATAAAAGGGTTCAGCACTTGCTCCTCTCTCTCTTTCCATGGGCCCATAAGGTCAGAGGAGCTGTCATAGGACCCAAAGAAAAAGGTCTCTCTGTCTCCTGTGTGGTTATTTTGCACAGCCCAGTTCATCTGGAGTGACCCTGGGTGTTTTTGTCACGAGGAATGCACCACGACATCCTTTGGTCACCATGTTCTGCCTTACCCCAGGCCCAGAGTGATGGAGCGTGGATGACCCTGGACTGAGACCTCTGAGACCATGAGCCCCACAGAGATAAACTCTTCCTTCTCTAAGTTGTTCTTGTCGTGTATTTTAGGCACATTGACAAAGAGCTGACAAACACATCTAGGATCTCATTAGATCAGCAATTCTCAAATATCTGAGGGCTCTTTTTCCCCCCAGTGCGGGGGGTGGAACCCAGGGCTTTGTACCTAGGAGGCAAGTGCTCCACCACTGAGCTACACCCCAGCCCTCAGGGCCCTTTTATACTTTAAAAAATTATTGAAGACCCCAAAGAGCTTTTTTTTTGCATAGGTTATACCTATTGGTATACAGCATATTAAAAAATTAAGAGAGAAAAAATTTAAAACTGTATGAATTTATTGAAAAACAATAGCAATCATAAAACCAGTACACATTAATACAAAATAACACATTTTAACAAAAATAATGATATTTTCAGAAAATTAATGAAAAGGGTTGCGTCCTTTTACATTTTTGCAGATCTCTTTAAGGGCTGACTTCCTGGAAGACAGCCGTATTTCCATGCATCCTGCATTATTAGTCTGTTATGGTGTCACATGTCACATGTGACACCATAACAGACTAATCTGAAAATCTCCATTGCACATCACTTGTCAAAGAATGAGAGTGAAAAAACAAAAATTGGCATGCAAGCATCATTATGTAAATAATTTTGAGCTCCCAGACCCCTGAAAGGGTCTCCAGACCACACTCTAGAACTCCTGAACTTGACTGACACAGTTCAAAACCACCTGGCATTGATTTTTCTTTAATGTATGATATTTAAAGAGAAGAAGGAAGGAAGGAAAGAAGGGAAGGACTAACTGAGAAATCCTGGCATATTACAATGTCTAAACGAACACAGCAAATACTCTCCAAGTTAGTGGAGAACAAGAAATGAAGCAAGAAAATAAAATAAAATAAAAACCTCAGTCCCCAAGGAAGGCCAGAGGGAAGAAAAGAGAAATATTAAAACTCTAGGAAAACAAACAGCACAAGTAGATGTTTCATGTCTTTTTGAATTTAAATATGTGAGTTCACTCTGTGATAATTCATTTGACCTGTATGCTTATCATTTGGCCCTGTGCAACGTATGTGTATATTTCAATGTGTGTGTGTAGTTCAATGAAACTGTTTAAAATAGTATGACAGAAATAATCCCGATTATATTGAAAAAATATTATTACATAAATATAAATAAACAAAATGATATAGTTAAATGACACACAGTGTCAAGTCGAAAGACCAGATTGCCAAAAAATCCAACCACTCCACCATGTACCGTGTATACAAGATGCATCTAAAACAAGAATATAGAATGTTACAAGTAAAAGGTTGGGTGAAAGTGTAGCAAGCAAATAGTAACCTCAAAACACATCAGTGTGGCTCTATTAATATCAGACAAAATCAATTTTAAGGCAAAAAAAAAATGCTCAAAGTTTCAATTCACCAGCAAGACAGAACTACAAGGAGGAAATAGTCAAATTTACCGTCTAGAAAAGCACCTCACACCCTCTCCTTGTCAGTGATAGATCGAATAGACAAAAAAGTATGTAAAGGTAGCCGGGTGTGGTAGTGTGCACCTGTAATCCCAGCAGCTGGGGAGGCTGAGGTAGAAAGATCTCAAGTTCAAAGCCAGCCTCAGCAATTTAGCAAGGCCCTAAGCAACTCAGCAAGATCCTGTCTCTAAATAAGATATTTTTTAAAAGGGCTGGGGATGTGGCTCAGTGGTTAAGCACCCCTGGGTTCAATCCCTGGTACCCCAAACACCAACAACAAAAAAGTATGTAAAGATTATAAAGCTTTGAACCCCACAAATTGACAACTTCAATCTGAGGTGTATAAAACCCAGACAGAACCCACCCATCGATTGTAGAATCTGTCTTCTTTTCAAAACTGATTATTTTTCTGGTATTAAAAAGAATACTCAACAAATTTCCAAGAACTGGACCCATTTCAATAATATTCTCTGACCTCAGGGCAACGTAGTTAGAAATGAATAACAAAAGAGAGACGGGAGGTAAAAACCCACATGCCTAAAAACAAAGAAACATTTCTAAACTCAACAGCCAAAGAAAAACGTCCTTTGGAAATTAGAACTGACACAGACCTCAAACTGATAAAAATTCTGCAAATCAAAATCTGTTCTAAGCTGTCCTTACAGGGAAATCTATGAACTTAAGCACTTACATGAGGATCTGTTAGGAAGAGAGAGTGAAGTTAATGAAACCCCCAACTTAAAAAAGAAAATGAAGTAACTAAAAAAGATTTAAGAAAGTACAAGGAAAATAAATAGGAATAAAGATTAATGAGATAGACAACAGAGAGAATGCTGGAAAGGGTCTTGATTTTCTAAAGAATACAAATGACAGATCTCTGGCAAGATGGATCAGGCAAAAAAGAAGAAAACTCAAAAGGACAGCACTTGGCAAAGAACCCTGACCTGGGCTTCTTCAGCCTGCATAGACTCTTCCCCGCAGGACTCTTTTTCTTGCTCTTGAGGCAGCACCTGCTGTGGTTGGGGTGCTGGTGGGGAACCTTCAGGTGCCCACCTTGCATTGCAGACTTGCCCATGCTGAGACGTGCACCCAGCCTGTGGATCCCCTTTTCTGGATCAGGGCCACGGTCAGAAATAAGAGCTCTGCGGTAGGTGAGTAAACGCCACCACCTCCTAGATACTGAGTGGTGAAGATAAGGAATCCAAGATTCTGATGTCCCAGGATGCAAGGGCTTGTGGCTTACTGTAGGAAATGTCACCAAGCCCAAGGAAGGAAATGAAAACACTCACTCATTGGGTGAGTTGGAGTTGAGGTGCCTGTGACTCTCTTTGGCTGTTCAGAGCGGCACAGGAGAACTCACCCAGTTCTGATTCATTGTCTCCGTTTTGGAGCCTCCTCCCCAAAAGGCGACACTATCTATTCTCCCGTGAAGCTGTCGTTGACCATGCCTGCACTCGCCTTTCCTTTCTTTACGGCCGCCTCCCTGGCTTTTCTCCACTCGGCCGACAGGGAAGCCCCCCAGGTCTGCAGCCTCCGCAGTTCCCTATCAAAGGCCCTGCGCGCGGCTGAGGAGGAGAAGTAGAAAATCAAGGGGTCGATGCAGGCGTTCAGAGCGCTGAAGAGCACGGCGCACGCGCGCCAATTCTGGCTGCTCTTCTGGAAGAACCCCACCACGTGGGACACATTGTAGGGCCCGAAGCAGACCAGGAAATTGAAGAGGGTCACAGCGGCCAGCCCCACGGCTCTCCAGCGCTTCTTGATCCCCACTTGGGGTCTGGAGAGCATGATGTGCACAAAGCGCCAGTAGCAGAAGGTGGTGACGGCCATGGGGATGAAGAAGAGGACCAGGCACAGCTCCAGGCGCACGGGCAGCACCACGTCCAGCTGCTCTTTGGTGAAGTTCTCGTAGCAGACCGGGAGGCTCTCGGGGTCACTCACGTTGTGGGTTGGCAGGTATTGGACAATGATCACAATGCTGCAGTGTCCGAAGGACAAGATGCCAGAGACGAGGGCGGCGATCACGCCGTACAGGGGCCGGCGGGAGAGCTTGTACTGCACCGGGAAGGCCACGCTGCGGTAGCGCTCGATGCTGATGCCCGCCAGGAGCCACGTGCTGCAGTAGATTCCGCTGTAGAAGCCGTAGGCCGTGAGGGCACAGAGGGCATTCCCTAGGGGCCACAGGAAGTCGTAGGCTGCCTCAATCATCTTGAAGGGCAGCAGCAGCAGCAGCAGGAGGTCGGCCACTGTCAGGCTGAGCAGCAGGATGTGCACGGGCGCGGGATGCGGCTGGCGGACCCGCCCCACGAAGGCGCGCAGGGCCAGGAGGTTGGCGGGGAGACCAAAGAAAAACGATATGCAGTAAATGAAGAGAAGTCCCATGCTTCGGGGCTCTGGGGCCATCCTTCCTGAAAAGACGGAAAGATAGGATGGCTCCTGATGGGATCAGTCCCAAACCAAGGCGAATCCATGATCAACTTCCTTGCAGTAGTCAGATCCTGCGCGGCCCAGAGAAATTAAGACCAACCCTTCCTATGACGTTTGTTCTGCTCGCTGTGGGTGGTGGAGCAAGAAGGCCACGCTGCTTCCCCATCAAATTACTTCTTTAGCACCTTCCTCCTCTCTATCCCACTCCCCACCCACCAGAAAAAAAGCTGGGTTGGGGGGACTAGATCCCTACGATTTTCCCCCCAGCACTGAGGATCAAACCAAAGGCTTTGCACACATGTGGCAAGCACTCTACTGATCTACATCCCAGCCCTTTTTATTTTATTTTGAGACAGGGTGTCCCTGCAGCTGGCCTTGAACTTGTGATCCTCCTGCCTCAGCCTCCCAAGTTGCTGGGATTATAGGCATGTGCTACTACACCCAGCACCCCCCCCCCCAAAAAAAAGTTCCTTAAGAATTCTGGGTGCCTCAGAAGCCTCCTTAGGAAGTATCCAAGTCTTTATTAGAAAGGGCACTTCATGAGGGCAGCCATGCTATCTGTCTTGCCCACCATTGTGTCTTTAGTACCTAGAACTGTATCCATTGCATAGTAGGTGCTCAGCAAATATCTGGGAATGATGAATGGGTCTGTGAACAGAGAGGAAGGAAAAGCGGCTTTATCATGAAGAAGCAGACAAGACTGTCTTGAGTTTTCAAATTCTACTCCAGTTTTACTCAGCCTATCTGTGGGTTTTTTTTTTCTTTCCTTATCTTTACCCTTTTTTTCTTTTCTTTCCCCAAGTCCTTGTGTTGGAACTCAAGTTCCTCAGTGGCACCCTTGAAAGTGCAAATTTGGTTGAGGATAAGGGGAAAACAGATTAAGCCCCAGGTGAGCAGCAGATGCCCAATTTCTCCATTCCAAGCAGAGCCTAATGAAGAAAGCCTGGGGGTTTAATTGGAAAAATGGAAGGGGCCTGATCAGGGCCAAGTCACTAGGATTGCTGTCCCAGCCATGCCTCAGATTAGAGCTCTGGGAAAGTCACTGACCCCACTCAGCATGGCCTTCACTCCCCGTGCACCACACCTAGCCCATGATTCCCCAGAACTACCATGATTCCCAGCATGCACTGCAAACTCCACCCTCTCTTGATCCCTAAGGAAAGAATATGCACAAGTAAATCAAGAGTGACCTTAAATCTGCCCAATTTATCATTCAAGGTGACATTTAAAATAAACCCCGAGGACCTGGGTGTGGTGGCTCACACCTGTAATCCTGGTGACTCTGAAGGCTGAGACAGGAGGATCACAAATTTGAAGCTAGCCTCAGCAACTTAGCAAGGCCCTCAGCAACTTAGGGAGACTCTATCTCAAAGTAAGAAATAAAAAAGCCTGGGAATGTAGCTCAGTGTTAAAGCATCCCTGAGTTCAATCCCCAGTGTCTAAATAAATTAATTAATTAAATATAATGTGAAGGGCTGGGGGTGTGACTCAGGGTGTGCTTAGCATGTGTGAGTCCCTGAGTTCAATCCCAGCCTAAAAATTAAATTTGATTTAATTTAAAAATACAATAAAACCTGAGACCTCCACCTAGTCTTGATAACATATTCCTTGGCCCATCTGCATATCTCTTTGGTGTTTGAGATCTGGCAGGCAGAGACGAGACACATGGGAGATTCCCCACAGACCCTCGCCAGCACCATCTCTCCGACAGACACGCTCTGGCCTCTTTTTCACTCCGTGACCTCTTTCCACCCCACACTCTGCCCGCTCTTCACGAGTGATCCACAGTCCTTCCTTCTATCCCATCTCTTCCCAGGGAGGCCATCTGACCTCACTAGGCTTTTCCCTGAGCACTGGCGAAGGTTGGTCTCTTGCCTTTTCCTGGAGGTAGACAGATGGCTGGTCAAATCTGCTGGGTCTCAGGAGCAGGTGGAGCCTTGTCTAACTGGACCTCTTTCTCCTCTTCCTCTTGCAACAGGCTTTTATACCTGGGAGAGTCCTGCAGTCAAAAAGAGGGAAGTCAACAGGTGAGCTTTTCCTGGGATAACTCGATGCTTTTGAGTCTCCTGCTGAATTCTGTCCCCAACAAACATATTTTCCCCAGCACCCAAATTGCAATTGTTCTTTCAGATTCCTCTTCTCTCTGTGTCCTGACAAGCTGCCTTGTGCTTTCTTTTCCTGGGAAGTTATCCCAAATGATGCTGCACCTATAGCCACATCTTGCTCCACCTGATCCTCCCCGCCTTTTTTCCAAAGGTCCTCAACCTGATCGATTTCTGTTCTCTTTTGAGGAAGCTCCAACTCAAACTGCTCAGCATTGCAAACTTTGCTGGACTTCCTCTGACCCCTCCAGTCCCTTCTTACAAATCCTCCCATGACAGACCTGCACTCTCCTGAGTCCAAATTGCTGAGCCAGGTTCTGGGTCTTTCTATTCATTCCCTCCCCAGTGGGCTGTGCCGTGCCTGGGATGCCCTCTCTTCCCACTGTTGTTCCCTCATGTTCTGTGTAGGACCCACATTGCTCACTGGTGGCACCTCAGGGTGAAGAGATGGACACTTGCAAGAATGTTTTCTCTCTCCTCGGGGAACGTGGATGTCTTGTCACTGGTTGCCTGTCCCTGCCAGCAGAGACTGTCCTTCTTCCCCCTGACCTGGGAGGAGTGATGTGCAGCCAAGTTTACCCCCTTGTAATCATCTCTTGTCATTTCGCTCTTCACTCTGATACCCACGTGGTCTCCCCATGTTCCTGCTCCCTAACCCACACCGTGCCTCCCAAAATGGGGGTTCAGGAAACGACTTTGAAAATTTGGTACACACAGCAAGCAAACAATGTAACTCTCCCTGCGCCTCTGCCAAGTTCATTTGTGCTATTTTGTTGCATTGGATTTAATAACAGAAACTCCCTGGAAAGGTGAAGGTTGCTGGACCCGGGTGCTCTCGGAACCAAGCATGTGAGCTGGCTCCCAGGTCAGGAAGAGAGCTGTAGAGACCAAGAGCCATTTCCAAGCCCGTGGGAATCTCCTGATAGGTCCACTTCCGCCCCTGGTAAAGGGCAGTGCCTTGAGGGGTGACCCTGGCTCCTCTGGAAGTGGTCTTTGTACAGTTTGTCCTTGGAAACGAACCCTAGCACTGTCCCTTACCTAGGAAAATAACTCAAATACTCGTGGAGCATCAGGATGAAGGCTGGGCGCGCCCCTAGAGCTTGCCCTGTTGGAGGCGCAGGAGGCTGAACACAGAGGCAGGGCGGGCTGCTGGGCCTCGAGGGCTGGAGGAAGAGTGCGTGGGAGCAAGCTGAAAGTGCCGACTGCAGTGTGAAAGTGTGTCCCCAACGAGGCTTGCCTCATCTGTTGACCTGTCTTCCCCTCCCTGGCCTTTGATGTGTCTTGATAAGCTACAGCAGCCAGTCAGAATCTGACCGCCCCCGCTGGTTCAGCCCACCTTCGATGTCTTGAAAACAGAAATTCACAGAGCCCTACTGTCCTCTTCAGCATTCAACAGTGACAGACAGGGCAAAGGTCAGACCTAGGGCACTAAAACAGAAGAGTCTGGTGCAGAGGCACATACCAGTGATCTCAGTGACTAAGGAGGCTGAGACAGGAGGACTGCAGGCTCAAGGCCAGCCTCAACAACTTAGCAAGACCCTATCTCAAAATGAAAAATAAAAAGGGCTGGGGATGTGACTCAGTGATAAAGCACCCCTGGGTTCAATCCCTAGAGGGAAAGACAGAGGGAGAGGGAGAGTGAGGGAAGAGAGAGAGAGAGAGAGAGAATATGGATGACAGGGAATGTTATAAGATGACACAGAGATCTTTGGTCATATGTACAGCCACATGTGCTAATAGAGAAAGCAAAGGGAGAGGACATGCTGGTTCTTTGAAAAGATATACAAGTTTGATAAGCTCTTAGCCAAACTAATAAAAAGAAAAAAAGCCCAAATTATTTAAATTTGAGGTGAAAAAGGAGAAATCACTACCGACATCTCAGAAATCCAGTAGATCATCAGGGACTATTTGAAAACTTAGACTCCAATAAATCGGAATACCTCAAAGAAATGGATATATCTGTAAACAAATAAAATCTACCAAAAAAGGGATCAAGAGGACACAGAAAACCTAACTTGGAATGAGGTAGGAGCAATAATAAAAAGCCTTCCAACAACGAAAAGCCCAGGACCAGATGGATTCTCAGCTGAATGCGACTAAATCTTTAAAGAAGAACTAGTGGCAATACTCCTCAAATTATTCCATGAAATAGAAAGGAGAGCAACACTTTCAGATTCATTCTATGAAGCCAGGATCACACATATCAAGACCAGATAAAACACATCAGAGAAAGAAAACTATAGACCAACAGCCCTGATAAACTTAGATGCCAAAAAATACTTATTAAAATATTAGCAAATCATGTTCAACATTATATTAAGATTATTCACCATGACCAAGTTAGTTTTATTCCAGAGATGCAAGGATGGTTTAACATATGCAAATCAATATAATCATCAAATAAACAGAATTAAGACAAAAATCACTTAGATTTCAACAAAATTTAGCACTTATTCATGATAACACAAAAACAATGAAGATACTAGGGATAGAGGAACCTACCTCAACATCATAAAGGTTACATAAAAATAAACAAAAACTCAAAGCCAACCTCAAAGTAAATGGGGGAAAGTGAAAGCATTTCTTTTAACATCTAGGACAAAGATGTCCACTCTCACCACTCTTACTTAACATATTGCTGGAAATTCTAGCCAAAACAATTAGGCAAGAGAAGGAATTAAAAGGGATAAAAATAGGAAAAGAAGAAGTTACGTTATCACTGTTTGTAGATGATATGATCCTATGCATAGAAGATCAAAAAAACTCCACCAAAAGACTTCTAGAACTAATAAACAGTGTGGGGACAACAGGTTATCTATATCTAGAAGAATGAAATAGACCCTTATCTTTCACTCTGCACAAAAATCAAATCAA